ATAGGTTTTTGTTTAAAACGCTTATTGTATGGAGGGTTGTCTACAATACCAGACGGTTTAATTGTGTTACTATATATTTTACAAAATTGACTTTTGACCAGGTTTGAGGGTCAAATACTCCTATGTGCGGCGTGCCAGTCGAAATTTTTCGCATAGTTGCCAGTACTATATTAGCACTTTCTTAATATTACCACTTCCTTAACTTTTTCATGTACACAAATTATTTTCTATACTTAACTATTTAATATAAAATAGATAGTAATTAGTAAGACCCAGATGATATATTTTCACTACTTTTTCGATTCTCATCATAATTCCAATTAACCGATTAAGAACTCACACGCGTTTATAATAGGGCTCGGAATCAAATTCGAATAAGTCGAGTAATCGAATAGTCGAATATTAGAATATTCGAATAGTCGAATATTAAAAATGAAAAATGCGAGATAATTTTACTCAAGATGAAACTGATAAAAATAACTCTAATCAGTTGAAAGAAATTCAAGGTTTCAAAATTCAGTTTTTTTGTTTCAATAGAAAAATGGATTTCGCAAATTGTTCCGATAGCTACACTGCAGAGATATACTTACTTCATATGGTTTATCACAGATCTGCACAACTTCACTTCATAGCCCTCGCTTCACAATGTCAGTGTCTATTATTCACAAAATAGTTTGAATCCACACAGTTTTACGTTAGCGAAGTAGATTTAATGGTATACTGTTCCGTATATTACATGAGACTTGAGTTCATTCTAAACTCTCAGATCCAGAAAAATCTGCAGAAAACTTTTGAATAGCTCTCCATCACGTGTTAGTGCTAACAAACGGAACATATTTTATTCATTGTGTACGGGAATTGTGAGTTTGATTTTCACATCACCAATTCACTTACAGTACATAGTGTACTTTGAATTTCATCGGCGACTTTCCTACTCGAAAATCCTTAACATTTTCTGAACTGGCGATCAGACGTTAACATACTTTTACAATCATCAGTGGTACCTACCTGGAAATCCTCTAATTAGTATTAAGAAATTGTTGGGCCTCTGTCAATTTAGAAGTAGTCTGTATGAAAACAAATTCTAGCTAGTTATTCAATAGAAGATGCATCAGATTATAATTTTAAATATAATTATGTAGTATTTATTAAAAGGCATTTCGGCAAATGCTATTTAAGCTTTTAAGTAGTTAGTGTATTGATAAATACTGTAATATTGTGAATTGCCTTTAAAAGCTTTCTAAGTCATTAAATAAAGAGATGAGCTGGTTTTATTAAATAAAAGTTCTTATAATAAAAGTCGACTTCCGAACCAACGTTTGTGCTATTTGTAGAATTTAGAAGGGAATCATAATTAAGAGATGCTTTAATTAAAATGTTTAAAAATTACATTTTTCCTGGACTTGAAAATGCAGAACTATTGGATTCCTATTGGAGTCATTGTTGATGAAAGATAGCTACTTTTTCCAGTACATTTATTTCATTATATTAACTTCGGTGATTTTCAGTTTCGCAACCCACTTCAGGATATTATATTGTCACTAATTCTTATTGCAGGATCTTAGTCAATTGCATTGGAACGACAAAACTACGAACGTGCTTGGAAAATGTTTGAATCGCAAAGGACTGCGAGCACTCGATAAAGCATTGAACCGTGGCAGAATTGTTAATAGTAATAATACCTCCCTAGCGGAGCGAAATAATGATACTAAATTTCACATCATGGACCAGAGGTAAGAATTTGTGACATACACATCAGTAGTGGGTTGTTTTTCTAGTAGTTTACATGAATGCTTTGAACGTAAAATCGTCGTTTCGATTGCTCCTTATTTTATAGATATTCAGAACAAAGTTTACTGAACTGCAGTTGAGTTTTATTGCTGCATAGTCGCGTCACGGTCTATTTACTTTATCATAGCACAAGCCATATCGTATAAACCATAGAGCGATGTTCTTAAAATACCATAATTTTTAAAATAATAGAATATTATATGAAAATATTGACGATTTCTTCAAAAGAAAAAAATTCCAACATGCTTTTTCAACAACAACTATAATAGGCAAATCAGTATTCAATTAATATAATTGACAAAATGAAATTATTACCTGTAGTTTGGCTAGTCGTTGATAAGTTTCCAGTGCGTTAAATATTCGCTTTGATGCGGAAATGCATTATCGAAGCTAGAGGAGGTGGACAACAAACAGGCACCTCATGGCAACCTATTAGTTATCAGGAGTTCAGATTCAACTATGGGATCAATCTTCTAGAGAGGTTGATCAGTGGAAAAATGGAGCGGAGCTGGAGTTAATTTTGTTTTAATATATGTGTACATACATAATATACCTACAGGGTGATTGAAAATTGGCATAATTCCTGTTAAGGAGTTTAGGGGCTCACTCACTCACTCACACACCAAAATTTCTGGAAGATATTATCAGTTGAAAATTGAATTTCAACTTTCTTTTTAAGTTTTATGTTGAAATGATCCCATGTTTGATTGGTAGCGTCATGAAATACTGAAGCATTCGAAACGAAAAACAATGATCTTTTATCTCAGTGTTAATTTTTTTTAAGGGTTTACGGACTCACTCATTCAAACACTAAAATTTGTGGAATGTATTATCAATTGAAAATCGAACTTCAACTTTGTTTTTAAGTTTTATGTTGAAATGATCCCATGTTTGTTTTTATCCTCTTTGAATATTTAAGCATTCGAAACGAAAAACAACGATCTCTTATCTCAGTGCTGATTTATCATCTTTCTATGGTATCTTATAAGATTTATTATCTCAGTGTTGTTGTCTCAGTTGATAAGAATTCATGTTTTTACTGTACTCCCTAAATAGCCTCTGATGACGTCAATTTTGAATCAACCTGTTATTACAAATTATAATTATTGAAACTGTGGTTGTTGAAGAAACTCTTGGCTTCAAAACCTCAGACAATGGTTTGCCTTAACCACAACCGAACTATTCCGTGCAGCAGCCAATAGAGTTAGAAAAGCCATGCTAGTTGCCAGCATCCGAACCAGATATGCACTACAAGAAGAAGAAGACTGGTCCTTGAACTTGGATGTACTTGTTCAAACATCGTAAATGTTTGAACTCGATATACAGGGTGATTCAGAATTGGCGTCATTCCTCTGGAGGTGTTGTCTGGCGCTGTTATAGGAGTGCAGAAAAAATAGTAAAAAAAATTAATTGTTATTAAAAACTGAGAAATTTGCAAAAAACTATACCAGAAATACGGCAGCAATGTTTTTCAAGGTAATCTGCCTAATTAACATTGCGCAAATACCTGTGGCTTCGTAATTATTTAAAACTCCGGTAACCATGATATTATACAGACTGACAATAAGATAGACAAGGATAAATAGTAAATTCAACAAGATTTGTTGACGAAATGTCAACCTATTCTCAGAATCTCGAATATTGTGTGTTTAAAAATAAACCATACCACACCAAACATTTGAATGGTTAACTCCAAACAAGCTAGGGCCTGTGTAATCTCCTTATTATCAACTCTTATCAAGCAGCTTCTCGTATTCAGTTAATTAACTCCTGCTCCATTTGTATCTCCTTGTGCTGTGTGTATCGTACAAACGTGGTAGGACCATAGCCCTTGCTCGGTATTTATTTGGTGCTTGGGAAAGTGTCAGTTATTGTGTTCTGAGTGCCCCTGGAAGGCCCTGATTCGGTTATGTCCAATACGTGTTCCTCTGTGCCTGGAACCCGAACATCTATCGTCCACTATCTTCATGGAACCACTCTCCTCGTCCTTTGTTGGCGTGAGTTCTTTCAGATTCTGCCATGTTACTGTAGCATTTTCCCTGAACTAATCGCGTATCCGCAAATTCGTGAAAGGGAATTCAAAGTAAGTCACACTTTAACAAATTATTGTTAGGGCAATCCACCTGTAACTATCTGTTAATGACAAAAAACATCATTGCTGCTGAGCCTTTTCATCAAAAAATTGTAGAAGAGAACTTTTTTGATATCAAAAATTTTGGTAATTTGAAGCAAAAATGGTAATTTTTCTTTTTGAATGCTTAAGTATTCCAATATGATACCAATTAAACATGGAACAATTTCAAAATAATGCTTAATAACAAAGTTGAAATTCGATCTTTCTCGAACCAAGGGAGCCTCTATCACCCCTTAAAAGGAATGACGCCAATTATAAATCACCCAATTATCAATGTATAGAGGTAGTATAGAACTCGAATTGATGGCTCCATTGTTCCATCTTCAAACTGTACAGGCGCACTATTATGTTGCATGCAGCCAAATTTGATATCAAACTTTAACGAGACATTTTCAAGATGTTCTGACAGGACGTCCTTTGTTTAGCTACACGCTTAAAATGGTGAAAAATAAGTGAGAATCGACACGTAGTATGTGGCCGTTTGGTTGAGCCATTCCAAAAGCGCTCAGTTCGAACTGTTTGCTCAAAACCGATAGTGTGTGCCTACGTTCGTTGCAGTTCTTTTCTTTCGTTCCAAATCTTCCGCAATCATATATTTTACCCATACGGCTAAACTGTTCGTTACTTACAGCGCACTCAGGTTGACTGTTCTAAAGTCAAATTTTCGTTATTTTTGGCCGTTTGTTTGGTCGTGCTGTTCCAAACCAGCATGGTTTTAACTCTTCGTTCAAAACCGTATTACAAACCGAAGTTTGTGGGGGTCCTTTATGATCGTCAACAATACGCTCGTATTTCGAGCAAGTATAGCGCATGGATTTTCTTAAGGCCTAGTAAAGTTATCTCTCAAAACGAGGTACTTACGGCCTACCTAGCTCTCGATTTGTCGGCCCAACTTTTTGGGCGCAGGATGTTGCCTTACGGAATATATTTCTTGAAAAAGCCGTGCATTAGCAATTGAATTGCAAGTTGTTAGCCCATATGGCAGATAACAGGATACAAACACATGACACGATCAGTGAGATGAAAAGATTCAAAATAGGTGTTCTGAGTATCAGCGAAGTGCGTTGATCATTTAGTGTGCTACATTTGAATGGGGTAGGTTTCTTGGTGGGGCGTGATATGAATGTTCATCTCTGACACGTTTTGTCGTCAACTGTCGCGTTTTGTATGCACCTCATCTGACAGAGGGCCTCTGGTCGGTTTTTGTAGCCAGAACTTGGGCATTAGCTAATTTTCTGCATCTCACCGAGAGATACTCCACCACTGACGACTTCTCCACCTAATGTCCAAATAGCCAGTTTCTTCGATTCTGATTGCAATCGATCTCTTCGTGGTTCCTATACATTCCTATATATAGACACTTCCATAAGAGCATTGGATGCGATAGATACCTGCAGTCGCGATAGAGAAAGTTGGCGTCGTTAACCGATCATGAACTTTCTTGCACTTTTGTTGTGAACCTATAAATGGTTTTCGTGTCATGTTTTCGTAGAACCCTCCCAATTCTGTCCATCGCTCTGGGAGCAAAGGGCCGAGAAGCTTTTCGTGTAGTTTCTCATCTTCTGAGACGGCCCACTCCTAGTGTATATCAAATACACTAGGAGGGATTAATGTATTTGATATACACATAATTTCCCCTTCAGATAGGCTAATCCCACACAGACAGATTTGTCCATGTGGGATTAGACTTTCTGAAGAAAAGCTTCTTTTAAATGGTGCATTCTCTTATTTCTCATCTGGTGAAGACAAATCATGCGGTTGTTGAGTACTACTATTTTTGGCCACTTTATATATTAAATATATATAATAATAAGGGATTTAAACGCCAACGCATTAAGACCGATTTTAGATAAAATCCCTAGACAACAGCAGTCGAAAAAATGAACGGCCGCATTCATACATTATACAAACGTTGCAGCATTTTATTTTGTAGCATACCGACATGAATTGGCTTTCGTCCGCTCTTCACCCAAAAAAAATCCCCCAGAGTCCTTGCCCGATTTGCAGTAAAGTTGATTGTTCGCCCCACCGCTAATGGATTTTTGTGCGCGTTTTGTCAATATGTTAGCTGAACAGCAACGAGTGCTCTATAGTTGCAAGATTTAATAATCGGATAGAAGGCACTTTATTTGCATGCGGTCAATTATATTCGAGGATAGAGGTCGAAAGGATCGAGGGATTTGTTTGTTGATTTCACAACGAACAAAATCAAGTAATTTGGGCGGAACAAGTAAGGATTTTGCAGTAATTGTTTTCCGACTGCGTAGCTATTAGAGAACAGATTTTTCTTGCATAAAGACTTTTAAAACCGAGGTATTTTTAACGACGAAAAATCGTACCAAGAACATTTTGAATTAAATCGAAAACTGTAGCACTCGTTAATTGAAGACGATATATCGACCTAAACAGATTTGTTAAAACCTTTACTCCTCAATGTAAACGCATTTGGTGTTATTTTCAGTTTCGACTAATATTCGACTTATTGTATTCCTTATAAGCATTTATGTCCTCAATATTGGCTGATGGCTAACACAGGAGAATGCAAATCGTCATGTAAAAAAATTGTTCAAATTAAGGGACTCTTCAACATCGTTTGTTTCATATTGTATCATTCGATAAAAATAAGGGAAATTCATAAGCCAAGTGATTATTTTTTACGGTTTGCGTTCGAAATATGTAATTTACCATGCCACAATATAATAATCTACAAACTGTGTTTAATGTAATAATAATATTTGAGCCTTTTAAGCTATTAGGAATAATATTTTACACAAAATAATACATACGTTCTCCCTGATAATTATGAAAATATTTTTGATTCCTACTCTTCTAAACA